GTGTTTATGTACATATGGTTTAGTTATGAATGTGGCTTGTGCATAAAGTCTTTTTGCATTCAGGATTTCTTAGCTCATTGGACATCTTTTATTTACTATTTTGGCTTCCGCCAGCCCCTCTACTATGTATTATTGTCATTACTGTTAAGCAGGCTTTTGGTAATCACGGATTACTGGCCGGTTACGATGCTAAACCCATAGGGGCAGGTTTAGGTCATGACAATGAGACTACAACTCAATGGTTAATAATTCAACACATTCATCAAATTCAACACTTCTCTACCTTGCCTCTGAGGGAACCGACACCCATAAATATAAGATTTCGGGACTTTCACGCTGGACACTCCAGCCAACTTAATTATCAATGGAGTCAATCTCCTATCTCCTCCCAAACAATGGAGTACATCCCCTATCTCCTCCCATTCAAAGACACATATGCAATGTATTTAAACACGTGTCATTTACAATGACTCATTCATTCACATATTCAATGATTTAGATCAAACCGTCATATTCAATGACATACTTCAATTGATTAGTTTCAATTTACCTAATCATCATGTATTTTCTACAACAATCATGGCTATCCTCCATTGATAACCCCAAGACAGATATTTCTAAACATATAAATAAATCTATCAACAGATAATTTATCAAATTTTTCATAGGTGAGTGATTTATCAATCCAACTACACAATTTAATCACACATTTCACTAATTTCACAATTCTCAAACCAATTTCATATTTCTACATTTATTTCACTATTTATGCAAAATAGTTTGTTTAATTCAATTTAGGGCATTTCCCCCCTTTAACATACATGGTACCCAAGACCCAATTTCATCAATTATATCCAAGCAATAGCATATTCAAGACCTCTCATACCCATAAGCCCCGTTTGTTTTTAGAAGTAGAATGGAGGGGATTCATAGTGAGGGGATTAATAGTGAGAGGATTGTTAGTGAAGGGATTGATAGTGAAGGAATTAAGTAAAATTATGTTTATTTTGATGATAGTTGTTAGTGTAGGAATTGTTAAATTATTTTTATATAAAATAATAAAACAAATAAAAAAATATAAAAAATTAAACATTAATATTTTAAAAAAATTCCCAATATATAAAAAATAAAAAAAATTCTAATTCCCTTACTATTTTTCTAATACCATCTCCACCTCCTCCATCTCAATCTCCTTTCCAACCTCCATCTATATCACCTCCTCCATCATAATCCCCTCCCCAACTCTACAAACAAACACAACATAAACCCCGCCTCCATCTTAATCCCCTCCCATCTATTTAACCCCAAAACAAACGGGGCCATAGGGAACCCAAATTAGAAAACCCCTCATTCAAACATTTAAATTTCAAACCCTAACTTAACCCAAACTTTCCAAATCCCACCATTTATACCAAATGACAAATATCTATGTTAAAACCCATATAGGAGAGTAGAATATCCCTACCTCAAATGGAGAAGCTCAAAGGAGAAGAAGAGAGAAACTCAAATATGCTCCAAATCCCATCTTTTTCGTATTAAAAGGAAGCCCACGCAATGTTCAAGCTTTTTAACAAAGGGAGTAGGGTAGAATGACCCTAGAACATGGAGTATTTGTAGAGAGAGAGGGAGTTTTAGAGAGAGGAGTTGCTGATCTAGGGTTTTGAAGAAGGAAAAGATCAAAAAGTGATGTAAAATCAAGCTGCTGCGACCTGATATAAGCGAGGCTCGCTCGAGTGAAGGAGTTGTCGCGACCAAACACAACAAAAGGCCTCGCTCGAGCACAAAAAGCGTCACTCGAGCGTGCAATGCAAAGCTTCAAGTTTGCCACACGCAGAAGCACGCTCGAGCGCAAGAGTGTTCGCTCGAGCGAAGGAACACAAAACACAGGGCTCGCTAGAGCGAAGAATACCAGTCTTCAGGTCTTTCAGAGACGCAGACGCACGCTCGAGCGCAAGAGTTCTTGCTTGAGCGAAGAGACAAATACCCAAAGCTTGCTCGAGCGCAAAGAAGCCTCGCTCGAGTGAAGAGTCCAAAACCTGGACAGCAACGACTTGTTCCAATTCATAACCAACCTGTTCCAAACTCACCCAACACGTCCCAAAACTCAAATACAAAGAATTAAAGCACGGAAATAAGATTTAGATAACAACATACAACCATGGAACCCGAGTTCGGAACATAATAAAGGTCAGGGTAAAACTTGAATCGCTATATCCTTTATTTGATGAAATCTTTGATTTTGCCGCTATTTGATATGAATTTGTGAAAGGATTGGAGCGCCTCATTTTGGCGCTTTTCATCAAATTTCAAATTTGATGAAGCATCTGATGTTGGATTAGAGATGCTCTTAGCAAAAAAAACACAGGGGAATTTATTAGAAAATCTCCTTTCAATTATTTGTATCCCAATTAGTTCATAAGATATTCTTATATTCCATTAAGTCCTATGATTTTAGACATTTGATCTACCAAATCCTAATTCTCATATATAAGATATTTTATGGACAATTTTACCCTTAAAAATATTTTTTGAACCATTAGCAACTTAATGATATGAACGTTCACAATAAATAATTTTAACAGTGTGAATGTTCACATCATGTAATATTTACACTGTCAATGTTAACATTAATGCACATTTTATTATATTATTATTAGGGATATTTTAGTAACTATATTATCCATAGCACTTATTAGAATATAAAAATAATTTGAACCAAGTAAAATATAAATAAGTGAATTTTTTTTTATGAATAAATGCTCCAAAAACATAAATAAATAAATAATAAATAATCACATGCTTATGAGACACTCCTTTGTGAATATTCAATGTATTTTTATTTTTATATTTTGATGATTTAATTCTATGAACCTTTGTTTTCTCATTATCAACGTTTGGGAGGAAGGTGACAATATTAGAAATAATCTCATACAAACTAATAAATCTTACAAACTTTCTCACTCACTAATGTGACACTTATTGTGCCTGTTTGGCACAGCTTATTTTCAACTTAAATCTCCTTATAGCTTAAAATAACTAGTTTTGGAGTGTTTGGTGTAGCTTAATGGGTGTAGATTATAGCTTTTTATAAGTGAAAAATGAGCTTTTTGGTTGAATGGGATGGTGCTTAATTTTCAGCTTAACCGGCAAGCTGCATGTGAAAGACTTAAATGTCCTTCATACTTTGAAGTAATTACATGTGAACCAGGTATGTAAATAAAATACACTCATTTTCTCCCTCTCACAAAAGGACTCTGGTGATTTTTGGTGGACAGAAGCGATTTCCGGTGACGAATGGAGCGATTTCCGACACTCATTTTCTCCCTCAACACAGCACAACATCCATATTTGCTCCGTCGCGAGCTCTCTTCTCTTTCTCTCTCGCGATCGAGTGGAAACCCTAGCGCCGTCGTGATCTCGATCTGCTCTGTCGCGGTCTTTTCTCTCTCTCTCTCTCTCTCTCGCACGAACCAGAGGAAACCCTAGCGCCACCGCGATCGAACCAGAGGAAACCCTAGCGCCGTCGCGATCGCGATCTCTTCTCTCTCTCTCTCTCACACACGAACCAAAGGCGATGAAACCTTAGCTCCTTGATTTGAAACACTAACCATTGTCTCTGGTCCGTCGTTTCGCCGTCGTCGTTTTGCCACCGGCGACGTACAGACGAAGAGGAGAAGGAAAGTAAAATAATTTTAGAATTAAAAAATAATTTTAGTATTAAATAATTAAAATAATTGTAGAAAAAAATAAATATTAATAAACTAAAATGTTAATAAATATTAATGTATTAATAAATTAATAAATTAGTATTAATATATTAATTAATATTAATTGATACTAATTAATAACAATTGTTGATTATCAATATTAACTGATACTAAAAATGAAAATAATAATAATAATAATAATAATAATAATAATAATAATAATAATAATAATAATAATAATAATAATAATAATAATAATAATAATAATAATAATAATAATAATAATAATAATAATAATAATAATAATAATAATAATAATAATAATAATAATAATAATAATAATAATAATAATAATAATAATAATAATAATAATAATAATAATAATAATAATAATAATAATGAATATATGAAAATAATATGTAATGAAATCACAACATTAATATAAATTAGAACATGAATATTAATTTTAATGAATTAATAAATCTAAAAAAATTAACAAAGAAAGAAGAGAAGAAAAAAAAAATTTAAAAAAGAAAAGAAAATAAAGTGAAAAAGAAAAGAAAATAAAATAAAATGAAAAAGAAAAAGAAAAAGAAAAAGAAAAAAATATATTATAAATGAAATCACAAATTTTATATCTTATAAAGGCAAAAATGACAATTATATAGCAAAAAACTATTTTATAACTTACTTACCAAACACTATTTTGCTGCTTAAATCTATAATCCTACAACTGCGCCAAACAAATTACCAGTTTATGTTCACAGATATAAATTATAATCTATAATCACTTTCCAATAGCTCTACCAAACGGGGCCATTATATTATTGGGGTTAGGTTTTTCTCAAATTCAAAGTTGAGAGAACTTAGCAACTCGTGGAGCATATCATGGATTTCATTTTGATGATTTGAACTGTTTATTTTATAATACCCTATATATATATCATCCATAAAAAAATTAAATTAATCCGATAATTATAATATTTTCATTTTATTGTGTTTGTCTCAATTCTTATTAGATCGATCTAATCTTTTTCATGGATGATACACATAGACATTTTTATAAATGATTTGAATCATCAATACATGACCCACAGTAGCCCTACAGGCCCATTAGAGAAACCCAACCCATATTATTAAAATGAGGGTTGTGTTTTAGATTCTAAAATTTTGTTAATACAAAATAAGGTTTTATTATATACATAAATCCTGTATTTATTTGTTTTTAGAACAATTTCCTATTAGAAGAGAATCATTGTTCTATGACTTCATTATACAGTGCACACTTGAACAGGAGCAAGGACTTTGCCCTTCAACAAAGATGCATCTATCATCAAGACAAGCTACCTTCAAATATTTTTATTTTGTGGGAGTTTTCCCACAAAAGAGTCTACATACGAGGAAAAAAAAATCTTGATCCCAATGGAAAGAAACTCACAATATCTACATGTAAGAAAGGAAAAGGCTAAAGAAGGAAAAGAGCACATGAAAATGCAGTTCCCCCCAAGAACCAAATTTGGTTCAAGAGCTGCATTTTACAACAGCAACTAACTCTGAAAGGAAGGTTAATATTTCCACACAATGGCTGTGTTTCAAACCAGCGAAAGAAGCACCAATTCTGTTCCAGTTACACACACAATTCAGGCCATTGATTAGTAGTAACCTAATTTCCAGTTTTCCCACTTCCAAGAGTGAGCTCTAGATCATCCAATCTCACCTCATGTATCTTCTCCCCTTCCCATGGCTTCACTGGGACGCTTTCAAACACAAATTCCTGGCCTTTCCCCTTCTCTATCATTGCATCCATTAGAGAACCTCGTTGAGCCACAGGTCTCACAAGATTATAGGTTGGGGAGGTTGGGACCATAGTTGGCGCAAATTTTTGAAAGCTCATCCACTGGGCTGAATCAATGGTGGATGTGTCAGACTCATCGCATTCAGGTATGGTGGCTGGAGCAATACGTTGACATCGAGTTGGGCTAGCTGGGGCAGAAGCAGCAAAAAATGGGTAATTATTATTCAAGGAGGCCATAGATTCTTTGGCAAGAAATTCCCAATTGGGTTTTTGTTTGGGAGGTCTAGAGGTTGGGGATGAGAGAGGTGGGGTTACAGGGGCACTGTTTGAGATTCGGATGGGAGGGAGAGACGATGGCATGGAATTCCGAAGAAAAGCAAACATATGAGATGATGATGTGGCATCAAAGCGGGAAGGGCTTGCGAAAGAAGAGGATGAGGGACTGGGTTGGTAAGAAGGAATAGGGCTTGGAAAGGATGAAGATGGTGGACTAGGTTTTTGGGAAGAGCATGGGGTTATGTTGGTTGAAGTGCCTCCAATCTCAGCTTGAGGTGGCTTACATCCCTGGATTATAAGAAGTTAATAAACAACTTGTTAAACAAATGAACATAGAGACAATTGTCGAAAAAATGCACTTGACTCAGCAATACAAGTGTGTGTGTGTGTTTCTATGTGATCCGAAGACATTAAAATAGGAGCTTGTCATACAGTAAATTGAAAGCTTTGGCTGCTTCAAGAGAGACAAACTTAACAATGTATATATTGAAACCAAAAAAAATCAAACACAGAAAACAAAGGTATGGATAGGATTTTTGAGAAGTGGGTCTATAAATAAATTTTGTAAAATTTTATCCATTCATGTGCTTTCTGTCCGAGTAGTGTTTGGTTTCTGTGTTTGTAGCATTGTTGATATTGAAACATGCCTTCTGAGCCAACAGAAGGAAATTTAGAGCAATGATCATCACAAGTTAAACTAGTTCCCATCAATCGCCAACGTTTCCAAAGATATAAAAAGAATTATAAGAAATAAGCTGATAAGAGAGCAATTAACATTCTTTCAAAAGAGCTAAAAATAAGAAATCAAAAAATTAGAATCATCATTTAAACACACCCTCCACCAACACAGACACAAACCCAAAACCCCCAAGAGAAAGAAGGGAACAACAACCAAAAAAAGCAACAAAAAGCAAAACCCCAAAAGAGGTTAGCATGGCACGGATTGATTTCCAGAATTGACACTCACCCCAAAAAAAATGGATGATAAAGAATGACAATTTTGATCTAGAAATGGAAAACCCACTATCCAGAAGTGTAGATCTGACTAAAATAAGCAGTTCCCAGTCATGAATCATGAATGCAGATCACAAAGAACACAGAAATGCACATATAGCTTGTCAATTTAGGAAAATTGTACACAGACATTTAGCGAGAGAGAGAGAGAGACCTTGCGATACGTGGTGCCATCAGGTTCGACAGTCCAACCAGCTTCTAGACAGAGAGCTTTCAAGACCTCGTTGTTGTCGCAGTGTTTGGGAAGGTTGTAATTGCCCTGAGACCTTAGGCCCGCATAAATGTTGGCGGCTACAGCTCTCCTCCTCCTCTCTCTCCTCCTGTTGTTCTCTCTCTCCCTCCACGACGGCTTCCTCCTCCCACCTCCTCCTCCTCCTCCTCCTGATGATGATTCTCCATCCCTCATCATCTGCCGCTCTCTCTCTCTCTCTCTCTCTCTCTCTAACAACATACACTGTCTCTCATATAAACACACGCAGAGAGACAGAGAGGGAGACAGGAAAGTAGTCACGCGGAATACGTTTTACTGCGTTGGAAGTATAGAAGAATCTATTTTTCTTCTCTCTCTCTCCTCTGTTATGAATGTGTGTTGTGTTTGTGGTGAGTTGTGACAGATAAAAGCGCTCTCTCTCTCTCTCTCTCTCTCTCTCTCTCTCTCATTCTTGTCAAGTTATAGCATGCCCATTGCCATACGATGTCATAAATGTCGGTAAATTACAGTGACACCTGATATTTTTATTTAAGTCTTATAACTTAAAAAAAAGTTAGAAAGTGTTATCTTATTTAAATTATATCATATTTTTATCACATCATTTTAAACACAATTCATACCTAACTCATATTTTATAAAAAATCAAAAAGTACATTTATTTAGATCATTCCAAACCACCGCTTAATATAATCTCAATACAAATTATTCTTGGATGGTTAATGTCATGTTTTAAAATTTTTTAAATGAACATTTTATTTTTTTTTTAATCATTTTTTTTATCATTATAATTATATTTTATAACTTTTCATCATTAAATTTTATCTGAATATATATATTCTTATTGAGTTATGATATTTAAATATAAATTTTATATAAAATTTAACTTAATGGTGACCTTTTACTTTAAAACAAAACATACATAAATATGATTTATATTTACAACAATATTACTGTCACAATATTTCTATGATATTTTTTATATAAATTTTTATATATGAATATAAAATTTAGATATATTTAAAAAGTATAAAGTTGTACAAAATTTGTGCAATTTTTTTAAAATATTCATTGAATACAACAAAATAAGATAATATATTGAATTTTTATATTTTACATTTTTTTTGTATATGTTGAATTTAAAAAAAAAAATCACAAAATATTATACTTCATAAATATATCTAGATTAGGTGTTACTAAAAAAATAAAAAATATTACTTAAAATATTAAAAAAATTCAATAAAAATAAAAAATATAAAAAATAAAAAACTCAATTTTTTGTGTGAGTTAAATTAAGAAGACGATTGTTATTTTCCTCAAAATGACATGAACAAAATAATTGTATTATTTTATTATTTTATATGTATAAAGTTTAAGGGACAAATATGTCATTTTAATCTGACAGGGGATAAGTGTAATTTTTTAAATATGAGGGGAGATCTGTATTAAACAGAAACCTTAGGGGGTGTCAGTGTAATTTACCCTAGAAATAATTTTGAATAAATTACACTGCCACCCCCTAAGGTTTCTGTTTAATATAGATTCCCTCATCACATTTGAAAAATTATATTCCCCTCCATAAAGTTTACAATCTCATTACAAATTGTCTCTTAGACTGGTGATGTCATGTCTTTTTCCTACAATTTTTTCATTCTATCATTATGATTACATTCTACAATTTTTCATCATTAAATTTTACCTGAATATATTCTTATTAAGTGATGATATACAAAGATAAATTTATATAGAATTTTCAAACACAATGATATAGCTTAATAGTGACCTTTCACTTGAAAACAAAACACCCATAAACATGATTTATATATACAACAATATCACTATCACAATATTTTTATGATATTTTTTGTATAAATTTTTATATATGAATATAATTTTTCATTTTTATTTCCACCATTATATCTAGATTAGATTAATTTAATTTAGATATATTTATAAAGTACAAAATTTGTGCAATTTTTTTAAAATATTCATTGAATACAACAAAATAAGATAATTTATTGACTTTTTATATTTTTTTATATTTGGTGAATTTAAAAAAAAAATCACAAAACATTATATTTCTTAAGTATATTTAGATTAGGTGTATTTAAAAAAATAAAAAAATGCTTAAAATATAAAAAAAAATTAGTAAAAATAAAAAAAAAACACGAAAAATAAAAAAAACTCAATATTTTGTATGAGTTAAACTAAAGAAAATGATTGCTATTTTTTTTTGAAATAAGATGAACAAAATATCTATATTAATTTATTATTTTATATGTATAAAGGCTAAGGGGCAAATATGTCATTTTAGTTTGACATGGGAGTACGTGTACTTTTTCAAATGTTAGGGGGTGATCTGCATTAAACAGAAATATCAGGGTGTGTCAGTGTAATTTATCCTAGAATTTTCGATATATATAGAGAAATATCATCATACACATTTTTCAATAGGGTATATACCATATGTTCCTTATGTTTAAAGAAGAAAATATCATAATTTTATATTTTTGAAGTCATAACTATAAAAAAAAAAAAAATCATAACTAAATACAACATGAGATATAACTAAAGAACTTATAAGTTATAACTAAAATAATATCATAACTAAAGAAGAAAATTGGTTATAACTAAATAAGAAAATGACATAACTAAGGGTACATATGTGACACCCCTTTCAAGGATGTGTATGTTAGAGTTTTCTATATATATATATATAGATAATGATATACAAGTCTACTATCTAGACCCATTTTCTAGACTCTTGGTCTTTTCATAAACTTTTACTTGTAAGAGATCTCCGTTTTATAAATCTTACCGGTAAGAGATCTTAACTGTCTGGTTCAATTAAAATTTTAACTGGAGACAAATCATTTCCTATAATCAAATACCACATAAGATGTAATTAAGGAGTTCTTAGATTATAATCAAAATAATCTCATAACCAATATCACAAAGTGTTATAACTAATCTCCTAACATAATCAATGACCATAAAAGTTGTAACTAAAGTTGCATGTGGTACACACATGTAAACACCCCATTTTTGACTGGCCGTAAGACACGGACACTCTACCTAAAGCTCCCAATGAAGACACCAAAGGTTCCTCCAAACAACAAGTCATAGGTATAGACAGTGATAAACCCATCCAACACTCATTTTTGACCGAAACGTTTTTTGGATCCTCAAACTCATTTTCAAAATGTTTTTAAGGCAATTGGTACATTTTCATTCATTTTGGCCATTCTAGGCAGTATATTTTCCAAAAATATTTGATCTGCTTTTCGAAAGAGTTAGCTTAGAAAGCTAGAATAAATGAGAAAACAAGAGAAACCTTTCAAGAAAATATGTTGGATAAGATTAGGTCGGCCAAATTTTTTTTCTGTAACTCGTCGTACAAATTCATGGATGCGTCTTTGGGCCTTTTTTGTTTTACCGGGAAACTTTCTAAAGAAACACGTTGGGCTACTATATATCGGCTGGACAAGTCTTATCTAGCACAACTTGCTTCGATGTCAACTAAGCAACTTTCTTATAAGGTGTCCCAAGGAACTTGGAATATGCCATCTGGATCTATGGGATCTAGAGGCATATTCCAATTCCCAAATGCCTATAAAATCACCACCACTCTTGAGGGAAAAGGGCTCCAAAATTTTAATATTCTTTAATCACTTCCTCTAATATTTAATCAAATACACTAAAAGAGAGGAGAGAGAGACAGTGTGTGGTGAGAATTTTGAACTACTTTCTAAATACTTTTGCTTGGATGTTTTGGAACTAGAACACCTCTATTAATCAAAGGAAGCTTGGATTAGAGCTTGTAATCAGATTGGGCTCTATCTCTGCTAGCCTAGAGGTAATCCCTACTTCCACTCTCATTTTCTCATTCTAAATCTATCTCTACTCTCTTTCTTGATTCTATTTTGGAGATTTTTGGGATTGTTGGTTGAATTGCTGCTAGCTTAGTTAGATTCTCCTTTTCTTTCCCCAATTTCTATAGTTAGTGGAGGCCTGTATAGAGGCTTTAGCTAAGTCCAAATTGCTTTATTTTGATTTTATGGGTTAGAAACCCAGGCATGGTTTTTTCTATGAGAGGGGATAAATTCTCTCTTCTCGAACTTATTTTACATAGATTTGAGCGTTTTATGCTCATTTTTTATGAGTAGAAGGTTGAGAATCTCCCTCCTCTCACTAGAGTTTTGCCATTTTCTACCATTTTGATGATTTAGAATCCTGGGTATGGTTTCCCTTTCGAGAATAGACTAGATCTCCCCTCTCACCGCTATTTCTTATGGATTTGGGTAGCTTATACTCATTTTTATGTATTAGAGGGTGAAAATCTCTTTATCCTTGCTGGAGCTTTTCTTTACCTTGTCTTGTCATTTATTTTGGCTCTATTCATGATAATGTCACATGTGTTAGAATGGGTTTCTCTTCTTTTTACCCTCACTTTCTATTCTTTCTACCCCTTTTTATTCCTTGATAGTTTATGTTAGATCCCTTAGTTTTGTCAATCCCTTGAACAAACATTGTTAATCGAGTTATAAGTTTCTTGGTTGTTTTTCCTTGCTCGCTTGAGCGAAGGAGTCCTAACTCGAGCGAAGAAGTCTTGCTCCCAGAAGTTGTCTTTGTTTGTAAAAATTCTGGAAAGGAGGATTGTGCACTCGAGCGAAGGAAACTTGGCTCAAGTGACGCCACTTATGAAATTCACACGTAATTGGTACCTCGCTTGAGTGAGAGAGTCTTCGCTCGAGCGACATTCGCGGTCTCTGTTTTCTATATATATGTATTTCAGTTCGTTTTAGGGTTAACTTTGCTAGATCTGTTTTGAGGGCTCTAGGGTTTTCTTTTGGGACTATTTTGCTAGTTTTTCCTTTGATGTTTGCTTGAGCACTAAACTCACATGGTTGGTTAATACACATTAAAGGGTTGTTTGAGTGATCATCTTCAAGAGTGTTCTTCTTCGGTGGAATTCAGAGGTTCAAGCGTGGAGTGTTCAAAGGTGTTCGAAGCTGTGCGCTGTCGTTGAGTCGATGTGGATGCTGTGGAATCAACATCAATCTAATCAATTCTAAGACGAAGGTTGCAGTAAAAGATATACAAAGCGTTGAAGAAAAATTGATCGAGTTTGGGTTTTTTGTATTCTTTCTTTCCTTCTTAGTGGATTGATTTGTGGTGTTTCACCCATGGTTTTTTAATCACAATTGGAGGTGCTCCAATAATGATTTTTTCCACGTAAAAATCGTTTGTGTCTATTTATTGTTTCTGAAACAACAATCTAAATCACTTTCGTACGTGCTTGATGATTTAGATTGTTAGTTTTAATTGTTTGGGAATTAGCACAATTACATCTTGATCTAATCACAAATCACTTAGGTTTTTCAATTGGTATCAGAG